AAGTAGAATTGGAGAGGACTTTGCATATCTGTGTGATTTCAGGAACACCATATGGTGTTTTTGGTTTTGTTTCTTTTTTGCCTCAAGAGATCTCCCTCATTAGGAGTGTAACCATTTGGGTAGGCACTTCCCAAATGAAATGCCACTGCGAGGCCAGGAGACACTGTGATAAAGGAAGTGATAGATCGCGTGGCTAAAACTTCTGTGAAGTCCTGCATACTCCAAACCCTGCAGAATTGCTGATATGCAGTTGCACAGGAGTCTGAACTTTCACCCACACTTGATTCCTCAAGCTCATCTGGCCATGGGACCCTCTATGTGGATCACCTATCCATAGCCCTTGGCAACTACAGTCTGTGGAACCCCCTTTGGGAAACGCTGTGCAATCTTAAGCACTGCCCTCCTGAGACTTTTTAAACTCCACCCTCCCCAGAACTGAGTTCAGATATCAATTCCCTGTGAATAAGCTTATCGTTGTCAGGGGAAGGGGTTAGTGGTACAGACCCTGAGACTTAGGGAAGAGGAATTGTTGAAGAGGGAACAAGGCCAAAAGGAGAAGGAAGAACCCAGAAACCTGAGGCATGCGGGATTATAAAATCCTAAGAGGCCATCATACTGTAGGTCTAATCCTCTCTGATGCTGGCAGTTCCATTGTGGTAGCTCGTTATTGGATGGGATATTGAAGGTAATCTAGGTCAGGAATTCCCAAACCTGGCTGAATATCAGCCTCAACTGGAGTCTTTTAAAACACGGAATGCCAGCTCTCCCCTCGGAGAGGACAGCACAGTGGTTCTGCTGGCACACGGGAGTCTGTATTTTCAATCTCTCCCCAGGATGGCTGTAGCGACTGGAAGAGAGGCCAGGGGAGGTTTCTGTGCTGGTCATGTTCTGACTCCTGATCTAGGTTCTGGTTACACCAGTGTATTTGGCTTGTGAAAACTTGCTGAGCTGTACACTTATGACACAAGGATCTTTCTGTATGCCCTATTTCTATAAGATTTTTTTTTAAT